GGGCAGTGTAAACACAGATGATCAGTAGATTCAGCACTGCACCCACATAAGCTGCAAGACTGGTCCAAAATCTGAATTCCCCTGCTTACAAGGTTTTCAACTGATTTTTAAAACATTGGTTTTTATTAGTGTTTTCACCCTACCATGATTTTGGGTCCATTTACCACCAAATTGCTTGCCTGTAAAAACCATTGACTTGGTCAACAGCATGATAATCCAGCTAATTGAATTACTGAACCATTTGACCTAGTTAGTGGGGTCATGGGTTAGAGTTAATTCTCTTTCTTCCCTTAATTTTTGTATTCTATTTTTATCATTAACATAAATAGTTTTATTTGTTATTTATTTTGTAAGATGATAAATATATAATATTAGAGATATACCCATATTTTTCTACAAAATGTTTATATATTTACAACTTATTGTATTTCTATGCATTTTTAAAGTTTTGTTATTTAAATATGACATCATCGATTGAGCCATTTGACCTAATTTGTTGACTATTGACCCGCCACCTGGATGGAAAAAACGTTTTGCCTTTGGGTTATTTTTAAATTTTGTATTCCATTTCCATAATTACTAAATATAGTTTTTATTTTTCATATTTGTTTTGATATGATGAATACATAATATTAGAAATGTGCCTAAGTGTTTTTTGTTCAAAATTTCTGTACTTTTTTGTATCTTTTGCATTAAATGTTAATTAGTGAAATTTAATGATGGGAAGGGAAACAAAGATACCTTAAATATAGGGTTCAGTGATAGATAATGGGAGTTAATACCTTAAATATAGGTATTAATGAGATGGAATAGAATGAGGTGAAAAGTAGTATTCAAATTACAGTATTTTCCCTCATAACAGAGAGGGACCAAATTCAAAAAAAGTTCAGAAGCCTTGGAGAGCTATTCCCTTTTCTTATAGTAGTATAGATTACTAATTTCTCCTCCATTAACACCCTCTACATGTTCATTTAATAATTTTTTAAAATGTTCCATATTTCCTTGATTTCCTCATCTTTTACCTAAAATCTTTGATCTTCCTCTTTAATGCACCTAATACCTTTTAAGCCTCTACCTTTTCTTTCTCTCATCTTTGCTACTTTGTAAATTCCTTTTTCTCCCTTTGTAGTGCCTAATTTATGATAGAGCTCATCATATTCCTTAGATTTAACTTGGCTTGTGTGTTCTCATTTGATAATTGTAATGTCTTATTTACTATTTATGTATATTTGTAATGACCAATGAGCTTATTGTTCATGTGCATAAATGATGCATGATTTATTATTTATGCAAGTTAATTATAAGTGATTCATTGTTTGTGGTGTGTAATGTATTATTTATGCATATTAATTTGTAGCAGTTGATTCACATGTAAACTATAATGTATTATTTAAAATTTATAGTGGTTATTTGTGAAGTTATCATGTAACATCTATATATCCAGTGTCCTTTTTGCTATTGCTTCATATAAACCATAAAGTTTTGTGTTATTATGTTATCATACCTTTTTGGTTTGTTATGTTTTCAACCTTTCATACTTAATATATATCTATTTATCTTAGAATTAGTATGGTTGATGTATTCATAAGATTTTATTTAGGTTTCTCTGGTGTATCAACGTGTCTCTTTCTTTGTCCACCATTTCCCAAGCACGTTTGGGTATTCTCTTAAAATTGGCTTTGCGTAACTCATTGTGATACTGATACTTTGAACCTTGAGTTCTTGTTATTTCCTGTTCTGTGTTCATGCTGTTTGAGCATCTGAGATTTCTTTAACAGGACTTCCCTCATCGCGGCAATTTGGGGGTTACATGGGGAGTGGTCCTAGTGGAAGCATTGGGAGTCATGAATACCCTATTGTGGCTAATTTTCTTAACAAGAACCAGAGGATGAATGGTAGAATTGTTGCTATCATTGCTTTATCTGCATTTGTTCTCTTCTTGATATGCATTCTAGTGATGCTTATCCTCTTAAAATACAAGAAATTCAGACCGCCAACTGATGCCGGTTGTACAACTGCGTTGTCTATCACTAAAAGATCTGGTAAGATTGCAAAGTTTATTTAAGCCTTTTGATAATTGTGGAGTTTATGCTGCAGGGAAATGTATGATTTGCTGGCTTTAAAATGCGACATTTCAGTACCCGAGCTTTCAAAATGTGACAATCCAGTACCTACCGTTAACTAGCTGTTAATCAGATGTTAAGTGACATTTAAAAAAGACACAAATGCCCTTTGAGTGTCATCTAATTTTCTTTATCAACTATCCAAACATTGACAAAAAAATTAATAGTCCTAAATCCTTGCCTCTTCTATTCAAGAAAGTTGGGGTCACCAGAATGCCCACTCAAACGTAACCCCAACTTTATTGAGTGGATGAAGCAAGGATTTGGGACTGTTAATTTTTTGTCAACGTTTAGATGGTTGATAAAGAAAATTAAATGACACTCAAAGGGCATTTGTGTCCTTTTCTAATGTCACTTAACGGCAGGTTAACTGCTGATTAATGGCAGGTACTGGATTGTCATGTTTTGAAAGTTTGGATACTGAATTGTTGTATCTTAAAGTTCGGGACCAAAATGACACCAGAGCCAAAGTATAGGGTACTAATCGGGAATTTTCCCTAATATATATGTATGTATGTTATATAAATAATGAAGTTCGGTGACTTAATTCGGTTTTTTTTAATTAACTGAATTTTCTTACATGAAAACCAAAACCGAAACTGAAATTTTGTAAAACCAAATTAACTGAAAACTGAAGTAACCGAACCTAACTGAATTAACAGAATAAATATGGCCATTTTGACTACAAACCAGATTAGCATGACTGAGTTAGCATCTATAATGCAGGCATGAGATCCATTTTGTCGAGCAGTATGGCCAGCTCAGCATCGGTGTCCCTTGTTTCCACCATTGATCCTTGTGTTCTCTCCGCCAAAACATTTACTCTTGCTGAGCTTGAGAAGGCAACTGAGAAGTTTAGTTCTAAGAAGATTTTGGGTGAAGGAGGATTTGGACGAGTTTATCATGGGATCATGGAAGACGGAACTGAAGTTGCAGTTAAGTTGCTCACTAGGGATGATCAGAATGGAGACCGTGAGTTTATTGCAGAAGTTGGGATGCTAAGTCGGTTGCATCACCGTAATCTTGTCAAACTTATTGGCATATGCATTGAAGAACACATACGCTGCTTGGTATATGAACTTATTCATAATGGAAGTGTTGAGTCCCACTTGCATGGTACATTTTCATCACTACCTTCTGTTGATGCATCCAATCTGTTGTGTGATCTTGTAAATGAATTGCCATGTATGAATTCTTTCAGGTGTTGACAGGAGAAAGGGACCTCTTGACTGGGATGCTCGAATGAAGATTGCCCTTGGTGCTGCTAGAGGACTGGCATATCTTCATGAGGACTCTAATCCTCGTGTCATTCACCGTGACTTTAAGGCTAGTAATGTTCTATTGGAAGATGACTTCACACCTAAGGTATCGGATTTTGGTCTGGCACGAGAGGCAACTGAAGGAAGTCATCATATTTCAACTCGGGTCATGGGAACTTTTGGGTAAGGGCCTACTTTTGTGTCCACTGCCTGTTTTTTTTGGATGTTGTATTCTTTCCTGTTGTGGTGCATTTTAACGATTTGCTATGATGCATCTTCTACTAATTTATCCTTCCCCCATAATAAGAAAGCCTCCCTCTGTGCATTTGCAGGTATGTCGCCCCTGAATATGCAATGACTGGGCATTTRCTTGTCAAGAGTGATGTCTACAGCTACGGGGTTGTACTACTGGAGCTTTTGTCTGGAAGGAAGCCTGTAGACATGTCTCAACCTCCGGGACAAGAGAACCTCGTGACATGGGCACGACCACTACTTGCTATTAGAGAAGGTCTGGAGCAATTAGTGGATCCTACCTTGGTTGGAAGCTATGACTTTGACAACATGGCAAAGGTGGCAGCCATTGCTTCCATGTGTGTTCATCCAGAGGTGGCTCAGAGGCCATTCATGGGCGAAGTTGTGCAAGCTCTGAAGCTCATTTATAATGATATGGATGAGACCTGCGGGGATTGCTATAGTCAGAGAGAATCATCTGGTCCAGATTGTGACTTCAAGTATGATCTCGACCCTTCAGATGGCAGTTGCTGGGATGCAGGTGGGCTCTCTCCCCACTTGACTTACGGGTGTGCCTCTTCTTTCATAACAATGGAGTACAGTTCAGGTCCACTTGATGACATGGATAATCATAGACTGCATTCAGCATCGAGCTTTATCGGGGAAGGAGGAGGATCATTACCAATCAGGCATGGGAATAGATCAGGTCCTCTACGAACAGTTCGCAGCAAACCTGCCTTCTACAAATTAAGGGGAAGTATGAGCGAACATGGGGGCTTCATTCCAAGGCGTGTGTGGGGTGATGGGTACTGGATTTGAGTCTTCTTTGTAAGCTAATTTGAAATGTACAGTTCAAAGGAGCACGTGTTTCCAGCTGTGCTTAAATGGTTTATTGTGGTTGTTGTTGCTGTCAATTTTATCCATTCATGGCGATATTTGGTCATTGATGCGATGTGGAGAGGGTGGAGCACGGCTTCTAATTTTGAAAATCTTGATTAATTTCTTATTTGCTGGAAATGTAATTTGGAACTCTTGTATTATATTTTGCTTCTTTAGTTTATTTTCTTGTGTTCAGTATTGAGAGTAGTTGATTCTATTTGCTTGCTGTTGCTGAGTTTTATGTGTTACCCAATGGGACGCTTGGGCTTTGAGTTCCTCATTAGAGCTGATTTACATTTACTTGAGAAGGTGCAATGGAGTGTTTTTTTTATTTTTTATTTTTTTTTTCTTTTTTGATATAACCAAAAGGGGCTACACAAGACAGGGGGTGGCACGTCCCCAAACATCAGCAACACAAATAGAAAAAAGAGGGGAGGGAAGAGAAGCTAAACTAAGATTAACGGACTCTGAAAGAGTAGATAGAGCTTCATGCGTCAGCCAATCAGCTGCCTGGTTTGCCTCCCGATAGATATGCTTGTACATCAACCTCTTTGAAACTCGTCCTTTAGCTTGATGCAGTTATTGATGATGTGTCTTATCTTCCAAGGAGCTGGGATCAACTGTTTGAGACAAGAAATGGCAAGTCACCTTCAATAAAGGTAGGATAATCTCTAAAATTCAAGGCCAAATTATGGGCTTTCCATGCTGCCCAAGTTTCCGCAATGTTAATTGATGCAACGCCAAGCTTATAAGCCTTGATATCTAAGATTTCCCGAAATGATCTCTAGCAAAGCTCGCAACCGAGCAAAAACCCTGCCCATTCCTGGATGCATCAAAGTTAATCTTGATATGATCTATATTGGGAGTTTTCCAAATAATTGTGTTCCAAGATTTATCCACAGTGTCGATATTGGTCTCAATATTCCTTTCATTGAATTCCCTAAAGGYCTAAATAGACTAAGAGCCTTTTCAATAACTAATTGAGGTGGGGTAGCCACTTTCTTGAACACTTTCTGATTTCTATTTTTTCATATTTCCCATAGAATACAAATGATTTTTTCTTTCTCTTGTTCAAATGTTCCTTCTTCCCCTTTGCTTATTTTAATCCACCAATCCATCATACTTAAATCACACACCTCTGAGTCCTCAAGGAATGGATTAATCACTTGCCATATTTGCTTAGTAAAGGAACACTCCCTAAAAACATGAGGTGTATCCTCTTCCTCTCCATAAAATTCGCAATCACCATCAATGTTTGCTCCCCTTTTCCCTAAGGAGGCTTCTAGTGGGAAGTCTATTGTTTATAATAAGGTATAAAAAGGTTTTCAATTTTGGGGGGCACTATGTTCCAAATGTTTGAGAGCCATTTTGTTGAGTTCTCTTCATTATTCAACAAAGCACATTCAACATATAGGCTGACTTTATGGTGAAATTGCCTTTAGGATTGCTACCAATAACATTATCCTCCACCATAGACACAAATATTGGTTTAATTTGCTGCCAAATTTGATTCTGTACCATTGAAAGAATCTTTTGTTCTTTCTAACACCATCTTTCTTGATTTATCACGTTTGAAACCAGACAATTGATCTCCTCAATGTTGTTTCTATTAACCGTTTCTAAAAGTGGCTTTTGAAACACTCAATTGTCTTGCCAAAATTTAATGGATTCCCCATTCCCCACATTCCATCTTATCCCTTTTGTTACAATGTCTCTTGCTTAAAGAATCCCTCTCCAAGCCCATGAAACGCCTTTTTTGAGCTTGGCATTCCAAAAGTCCTCTCTTTTAAATATTTATTTCTAACCACCTGAACCCAAAGGTTATCTTCCTCTTTTAATAATTTCTACCCAAGTTTTTCTAATTGTGCCTCATTGACCCAAAGAAGATTCCTAATACCCATTCCCCCACATCTTTTGGGTTTGCAAACTCTTTCCCATTTCATTAGGTACAAAGGTCTCCAACCATTTGAATTAGACCAAAGAAAATTTTGCTGAATTTTAACAAGGTCATTAATGGTATTTTTCGGAATCTGGAAGGATCTCAACTGAGGCATCATATTGGAAACTGATTTTATTAAAGTTAACCTTCCAGCCAAGGAGAGAGAATTCTTTTTCCAATTTTCTAATCTTTGCATCATTTTCTCTTTGAYATCTTCAAAAGTATTCTTTTTAACTCTACTATTGATTATGGGAACCCCCAAATAGTTTTTTGGGTTAACATCTACAGGAATCCTAAACATTTTGAAGAGCATTTTTTGAAATCTCTACGGAATATTCTTTGAAAACAAGACATGCAATTTCAAAAAATTTGGGCTTTGTCCGGAAGCATTAGCATATTTTGCCAAGATTTCTTTAATTTTCACACATGCTAGAATGGTGGTATAAGCAAAAATTGTGCAATCATCTGCAAACTATAGGATAGGAATTATTGGCCCACCACTTGAAGCCTTGATTCTAATGTGCTTATTGTTTGTAGCAGCTTCCATATCCAATTTTTTTTGCTAGTGTTTCTGCACAAAGCACAAAAATGTAAGGAGAAAGGGGATCTCCTTGTCTGATACCTCTATCGAGTTTGAACTCAGCGGTAGGACTTCCATTAATTAATATTTGATATGATACTGCTTTAATACATTCCATCACCCATGCTATCCATTTCTCATGAAAACCAAATTTCCGAAGTACCTTCTCTATGAATTCCCACTCAAGCTTGTCGTAGGCTTTTTCCATATCAATTTTACAAGCCATGGTTCCGGAAGCCCCTTTCTTCTTTCTCATGGAGTGAATCATCCCATGAGCAATAATAATATCATCTAGAAACCCTTTAATCCTACTTACTAGGATTTTAGAAATAATTTTATAGATGACATTACATAAACTAATTGGTCTATAGTCATTTACCATCTTTGGATTCTTCTTCTTTGGGATGAGAGTAATAAAAGTTTGATTCAATATACTGCACAATTTCCCATTGTGAAAGAAAGATTTTATAACATTACAAACCGAATCTCCAATAATGTGCCAAATTTTTTTAAAGAAAAAGGCATTCAGACCATCCAGACCCGGAGCTTTCAGATCTTTGATGGTTTCAAGCGCTTCTCTTATTTCAGTATTTGTTATTGGGCAAATTAATTGAGTATTTTTCTCCTCGGTGATACATATCTCAATACCATCAATGAATTCATCAATGTCTCTAGTACCACTAGTCTGATATCTTTGTTTATACATTCCGCTACAAACATTTGCAATGCCAGAGCTATTACAAGCCAAATTTCCCATCTCATCCTTAATGTTCACAATTTTATTATGGTACTTCCTGATGGTTGTTGTCGTGTCACGGGGCTAGTCGTTCGGGCCCTGTGCGGCACTCGAATGTGACGAATAAGCTTAGGAAACAAGCAACAACACAAGAAAATGCAACAAGATGTCACACAAATTAGTCAAAAGGCTATTTGTATTGCATTAATAGATGGCAAGCGCAAACACACAGTTTAGTATCGAGGGGGTCTCGTGCTTAACCTTTACACGCTACTGATTCACTCGACTACCTACCTCCCCTCAAAGAGTACGTTAAGCTTTTGGGGGAGTGACACAAAGAAACATCAAAATAGTGAAAAATCATACTATGGAATTACAATAATGCCATTGGCAATCCCCCCATACAAAATACATGCAATGCCCCACCCAAGACACACACTTGGACACTCGGATGGCATGTTGTGGGCSTGGTAATGGTACTTGATGGTGCGACAAAATGGTCACTTGTGGCATTCTCCCCCACTCAATTTGGTCTTCGTCCTCGAAGACCGACTTTAGCTTGTGGCTTGAACTTCTTGTTGGTGAAGGAAGGTACTTCAACTACTCCACGAACATGGTTTCTTCCAAGGCCCGAACATGGGTCCATAAACATAGTTTTTGGGTGATCTCGATGGTGGGAAAACCTATAGCTAGTCCCTAAGTTAAGTCCTTGCTTGGCTACTTCAAGGTAGGATTTTGGATGTTTTGCTTTTGTGGAAGGAAAGTTTGTGGCTAAGGCTGGGTCAAAAGGATGGTTTGTATTTTTCGGGTGTTGGTTTTATAAATAATTGCCTAAGGATAGATGCTCATCGGGCTACAGCGTGGTTCGACTTGAGGAAGGGTGAGAATGTGGTTCCTATATGGTTTGGGTGGCACTCGCTCTCTCCAATGATTAAGGTAGTAGGTATGGTTACAGTTGAAGTTGGCCTTGGGTCTTATCTTGGGCCCATCAATTGCGAGCATATGCGGCTTCAGCTACAAAGATGGCTTCTGCTGATGTTGATGCTGGCACTGGTGCGACAAATAGTGCTGGTGCTGCTTTGGGGGAGACTTCTTCTTGGTGATGACTGCCCAACCCGTTCCGGTGTTGATGTGAGATGTTGAAGTGGGAGTCTTCATTGTTGGCATGGCACTGGGATCATGCATGAAGAATGCTCGTCCAACATGAGTAAATGGTCAAAGTGCGGCATGAGGGCTGCTTCTGCCTATGTCAGGAACTCTACTCCAAGGACAACTTGAAAATCCAAGGGAACCACAGATAAGTTGACTTTGCCCTTCTATGGTCCCACTTGTAGGTCTACTTCACAGGCCATGCCTTCTACTGCCTTGGCCCCTGAGTTGACGACCTTGATGCACCCAGTTTGTTTGGTAGTGGTCAAGCCGAGTCGCTTTGCCTCTGCAAGCGAGATGAAGTTGTGGGTGGCCCCAATGTCCACCAATGCTTGGGTTGGCCTCCTACTGAGGGTGATGTCTACATATTTTAGCCCCTTATGGATTTTGGTGGGCCGCTTGGATGTGGCCTCTTTCTTTACCATGGCATTTATAAGTTGGAGGGCACCTACTCTTAGTGTTGGTGTGGGCTTCTCCTCGTCACTCTCATCATCATCACTAAGTTTGGTGATGAGGGCATTGATTTTCTTCCGCACKGGACAGTCTTTAGTCCAATGCTTTTCATTGCAAATGTAACAAGGTGAAGAAGGAATTGTAGGTCTCCCAGTGTACCGGTGGCCTTGATAGTTTTGGGCTCCTTTTGGCTTATTCCCTTGTTGATAATTGTTAGGCTTGTTAGTGTGCATTGGTTTTTTTTGTGTGGAGGTTGATTGTTGATCTCCCCCACTTAAACTCATGATACGTGGGCTGGATGGCTTTTGGCCTTTTTCATCAGGTGTCCTTAGATCAACAAGCTGTTTAGCTACGTCCATGGCTGTGGTGAGGTCCTTCAGACCGTGTTGTTGAAGTTCAAGCTTAGCCCATGGTTTGAGACCGTCCATGAAATTGAACAATAGGTCATTGTCTGACATGTCAGAGATCTCAAGTGTCAAGGCCGAAAAATCTTTGACGTAGTCATGTAGCGATTCTTGATGAGGTTCTTCATTCTTCTACRCGCCAGGTACTCCACATTCTCAAGATAGAACTGATGCTTGATCTCATGTTTGAATCCAACCTATGTGTCAATGGTGTGGGTGCCACGTTCAATGTCTTGACAGTACCTACGCCACCATAGCATTGCAACATCATTCAAATACATAGCAGCTATACATACCTGAGTTTGGTTGTCAATAATGCCAGCGACCGAGAAATATTGTTCTAATTGCAACAAGAAATTGTCAAGCTCCCTAGCATCTTGAGCGCCCAAGTAGGGTGTTGGCTCACGTATCTTGATGTGTATGGGAGCTAGGGTGGCTGAAGTGCTGGTAGAGTTGGCCACCGCCCTCTTTAGGAGAGTCATCTTGTCTCACATCTCGTTTAGTTGTGCTTGAAATCTGTCTAGCATGCCCTGTAGGCTACTATAGGAAGGCCCCGCTCCCGAGCATTGTAAGGTGGCATGCATCTCTCTAAAGGCACCATTGAATCGCCCTTCTAGTTCAACCACCACATTTTCAACAGTTTCCAGGTTGTGGTGTAGTTCATTGACCCGATCTCTAGTTTCACCTACTGTTGCCTCGCAACATAGGATGCACATGCCCATGCTAGCTAGTTGGTCGACTGATTTGTCACACTTGCTAGCTTTAGTTGTGCGGCCCTTCGGGACTTGTGTCTTGGTGGGTTCGTCGAGTGGAGGCTCATTGGTGTCATGGGCTTGGTGTAGCCCGTGTAGTATGTCATCGGCGATGTCGCGGTTGCTCCTCATTGTGCTGAATAAGGAGTAGTGGATAGGGTCCAATGTGCGTGCAGGAGCTCCTGTTTTGATACCAACTACGACAATAGTTGGGCTAACTGGCTCTAATACCAACTGTCATGGGGCTAGTCGTTCGGGYCCTGTGCGGCACTCGAGTGTGACGAGTAAGCCTAGAAAACAAGCAACAACACAAGAAAAKGCAATAAGATGACACATGAATTAGTCAAAAAGCTATTTGTATTGCATTAAGATTTTTGGGGAGTGACATAAAGAAATATCAAAATAGTGAAAAATCATACTATGGAATCACAATAATACCATTGACACTCTTTCATACAAAATACTTGCAATGCCCTACCCAAGCCACACACTTGGACACTCGGATGACATGTTGTGGACATGGTGATAATAATTGATGGCATGACAAAGTGGTTACTTGTGATGGTCGTGTGGAAGAATTTATTGTTTTTATCCCCCACTATGTTTGTTCTTTGAGCCCAATAAGTTTTTTCATGCTACAGGATTTTAAATTGAGAGTACGTGTCGTCTCTCGGTTGTGTTCCTGAAAAGGGGTATTTTGGTCCATTCACTTGCGTAATAACGATAAAAAAAGATTTCTCCTGGAAATTGGAAATTGGAATCGTGCGCATCTATGCACTATTGATATTTTCTTTTGTAATCATGCGCATGTGCGCAGTGCTCCGACATGCTAATATATATAACGCCTTTTCTTTTGTTCAATTTGTAGAACATGTGGTCAGGAATGATCATGAGTTGATGAAGCACCGGGTCCTTGACGCACAGCACAACCATCGGATTGGAATTGATGAATCGATTTGGAAACCCAATATGTCAGTTGATGATTTGATGGTGCTGGCTTCAACGGATCAGCCGTAGGATTGGAAGAGGGGTGCTTTGTTGGTCCGTTGTCTTATTCCAATCGTACGGTTGTCAAGCAGCCTGACACTTTCGGATTCCATTTTTTCTTTTTTCTGTTCTTGCTTTGTCACGTAATGTAACGCTGTAAGCATCAACGTCTTGCTTTCTGGGAACTTCTCCTCCGTTCGTGAAAGAACGAAGGAGCAAGCCATCGGGTTACAGAAAATTTTCTCTGATATTCTTGAGAATTGCGTAGCTGCCACCTGAAGCACAGAGTGAGTAGCTACGGCCAGCTGGTTCAGTGATCCTCAGCTATGGCTGCTCTGAGAAATTATCGGAACCCAGTTCAAGTCTTTCACTGTTTTTGCTCTCCTTCACCTAAGCTCCTTAGGAAACTTCAAAACCCTGCTTTCGGTTTGCGCACCAAGATGTTTTTCTTCACGGAGTTTCCAGGGAAATTTAGTGTACTAAAATCGAGTCTTAGTAGCAGAAATGGGAAGAACTCAGTTTGTTGCCTCTGCAAGCCGAGTTCTGAGATTGAAACGGTACSCATTGAGCAGGGGACTGAACGACCTCCTTTTGATATCAATCTTGCTGTTGTACTTGCTGGTTTCGCCTTTGAAGCATACACGACTCCACCTGTAAGTTTTTAATGCTCCGGGTCCTTTTTTCTTGTGAAACTTTGCGATTCATTAGAAGCAAATTTTAAGATTTTGACTATTATTTAATTATTTAATACAGGAAAATGTAGGAAAGCGTGAAGTTGATGCGGCAAATTGCCAGACGGTGTTTCTCTCCAAGTAGGCAAATAATCAAATTGGTGATTGRTTATGTGGTGTATGATGGATTTAGTTACAAATTCTTTTTCCACGTTTTTCTTCATAAACATGCATTTGCTTTGTTTCTATGAACTTCTTAAAATGTGCGATTTAGAGGCATCCAGGGAGTCTTTGTTGTTGGAGCAGCAGTTGTGAGTCCGGCAGGTGATGAAATCAAACTGTAACTCAGGTTGTTTTTGGTACCATTGCCACTTCAGACAGGTTCAAACATTTAGAGAGGCAATGGCATTTCCTGTAACCTTGTTTGGTTGGTACTTATGCTGATTAGGCGGTGAACAAATGTTTTGAACAGTATTGTGTTTGGTATTGGCATTGTTAATGCTACCTGAAGCGTTTAATGGAAATTTGTGTATTCAATGTGACACCACCTTAAAAAATAAATGTTTTCTGATGATGGCTTGTTATTACATATAGATCAACACCTAGAAGCAGATCTAGTGGTTCTAAAATATAGAACCAAAAAGAACCTTTGTTTTGGATGTAGGATTTATGGGTATTCAATGGTGTATATCCATCTTTGCTAGTATGTGATGCACCAGAATATATCTTTACACTGCCATGTAGGATGACAACTAATTGGATGGTTTCTTCAAATGGGCAGCTGATGGATTTGATGTTCCCTCAACACCCCCAGGTTTATGTTTCTTGAAGAAAAGTTTTGTCTGTTTTAATTCAAAACAGTCTCAATCAAACAGAAAATTCACATTTAAACTCAAAAGTCAAAATGCCTAGGTGGCAATGATGTGGCAGTATTTCAAGTAGAAACAGCTATGGTACCAAACATCACCTCAAATGGGTGRAATAGGCTGGATTTTGCAAAATAAAAAAATGAAGTGAGCTTTTGGGGTAGAGGATGTTCAGTGTAAAGTTTGTTGGACGGGTAATTTTTWTCTCTGTTCTTTTTCCACCTATAAATTTTTCCTCTATACACATAGACACACTCACCCAATAAAAAAAATAAAAAATAAAAATAAAAAAGAAAAACTCATTTATTTCAGAGGCCATAACTTTGCGCTCCAATGTCCGATGTTTGGAGACCAAACTTCTTTAGGCGCCTTGCCCCGCTAATTTCGTGAAAAAACCCTTTTTTGGCCTCAAATCACAATTTTTAATATTTTTTAGAAATAAAAATAAAAAAATAAAAAAAATAAAAAAAATAAAAAATTGAATTTAAAATATAAATCAAATATAAAATAATACATATATTACATGTAGAATATAATTATACATTATTTATTAATAAAATATGCATGTACACACATATATAAATATATTTATATATACATATACTCTATATACTTAAATATATAGAGTGCTAACATGGCACGGCCTGACCCATTTGACCTGGATGGTCGAACTGGTGACAAAAACGGTTTGGCCTCCGGGTCAGTTTTTAAAAAAATTGGTTCCTAAGGCTCTCTAAGTTATGAAATAATAAATGATTTTATGAAGGTTTCTTTGGAATTATGTCTGATAACTATAATTGAATAATTAAATATCTGACCATGTATATGCTTTTAGAGTCTAAAATCATTTACATAGCTTTATTTTAGGTAACAAGTTGAAGTTATTCTTCTTGCAATACATAATTTCTCTGTTTAATCTTTTTAAAATTTCATCTCTTCAGTTCATTTTTGCGGGAGGTCTATGATGGACAGCTGTTTATAAAGCTCAAAAATGGTGTTTCTTTGCCTATCATGGATCCTTGGGTATGGTAAATTTTCTTGATTTTTATTGACATCTATTTAATTGGGATTTATGTTGTTCTTTACATTGTTAAAATAGGCTATTTATGACTATTTTCTGTCCTGGACGTCTAGGAGTATTTATGTAATTTTCCTCTCTTATTTGACAAAGTATAAATTAGAATGAAAAGGGCTGATCACCCATTCTTCTCTCTCTCTCTCTCTAAACTTTGCGTTGTTTCTTCACTTTCTTCTCTTCTCGCATATTCTTTTTTCTTCTTTATTGTTTTTCTTTCAGAATTGAACAAAAGAAAACACAACTATTTTCTTGATTCTTTGGCATGAAGATCTTTTTTTATTGCGTGCTTATGGTTACTCCCCTTTATTGTTTTTTTCCCTACTGTGGACTTAGTTCTTTAATTTTTTTTTCAACTTTAAGGTGAAAATTATCATATTGCAAAAGAATGAATACTTATATTGCTGGAATAAGTAATTCATCTTGACAAAATATTGCCATTAATTTTATACCAAGAAGCACTATCAAATCTGTTACTTTAGCTAGTTCTGACTTGGGAGAGAAGTATATCAGAGAATCAAAACTAGAGAAAAAGGAAAAATATACAAGAGAGAGAATACAACTGATAACAAGATCAGCAAACTGTTTGGCAGACGCCTTGGCCAAACAAGGGGTAACAAGAGATAGATTACATTTTGAAGAAATATTGGTGATCCACTCCCGTGATTGTAAAGTTAATGCMAACATAGGGCAAGGAAGCAAGGCTGCCTAAGGGCTATTGGAGTGCTAGGCACTTAACCATTGTATATAACCACATTTTTTGTCATCTATTAATAAATTGAAAAGTGACCAATAAAAAAAATGTAACAGAAAGAAAGTGGAAAACTGATTTTGTTTCAATAATAATCAGTTTCAGATTTTGGGGTCTGTTTAGTAAGTTGTATTCTTATCATCCACCCACTATGGTCCGTTGCCTAAGCTAGGGGAATCTCGTGGTAGTCTTTTTTGTAATTTAAACTAAGCTACCAGTCTCCTTCAATAGGTCAAGAACATATTCACGTTGGGAAATCAAAATCCCATGTTTTGACCTTGCTACTTCTATCCACAAGAAAAACTGCAGCTCACAAGGCCTTTATCTCAAACTCCCAGTGAAAAGACTTCTTCAATGCATCAATCTCTGCTAGACCATTACTCATGACAACTATATCTTCAACATTAGCAACAAGGGTTGTCAACAACGAACCTTTCCTCTTCAAGAAGAGGGTATGATTTGATATAGAGAGAGTACCTGAGTTGAATTCATCTTTATTATGGGGGAAAACATCTCTGGATAATTAATGCCATATGTTTGTATATACCTCTTTGCTACCAATCTCACCTTGTACCTTTCTATATTGCCATCAGCCCTGTACTTCATTGTGAACACCGGTCTACATCCCATAGTCTCCTTATTAGTAGGCAAATCAGCAACCTCCCAAGTTTGGTTCTTTAGCAGTAAATTTATTTCCATCTGCATAGCCTCCTACTTAGGCTTGAGAGGGCCTAAGTGATGATGTTCCTGGGAGGAGACATAGAAGCAATAGAGGACAGGAATGCATGATATGATTGAGAGAGTGACTAATAAGAAAGATAATGCGAGATGTAATGTTTAGTAGAAATGCAATGTCTCTTCCTCTTGTGAAGTGCAATAGGAAGATCAAGATCACTAGATTGAGGTACATGATCAGAATCATCAATGACTCATCCAAAAAAAATCAACTACAATAACAGGGGTAGTATCAATCATAAGCTAGAAGAATRGCATAATGAGTAGTATTAGGCATACCTGGATCTGAAATCTCAGAAAGTGTGACCAGGAGTGGCATGGGTTGTCTTGTAATATCAGAATCAACCTTCCYGTGTCACCTTTCATAGACCTGTAATTGTGGAGCAGAAAATGGAATACCAGGAACAGGACACTGCAAAGAAATAGAAAATGAATCTCTTTCCTTGCCAAAACATACCCCCTAGGTAGGAAATAGGAACTTTTGAAAAGAAAGGAGTAGACCAAAGAAAGTGACATCCATGGTTACATACCAACTCCCAGACAATGGATCGAAGTAACAGTAACCTTTTTGATGTTGTTCCTAACTAAAAAACACACACTTCTTGACTTTAGGATCAAACTTTTGAATGATGAGGTCCAAGTATATGAACAACACTAGTGCAACCGAACACCCTCAAAGGAATAAGAAACATTTAACCATGAGGACAATGTAGTTAGTAGCTTTGTTGTTAGTTGTAATGCTTCTCCAACCATAAGGTTATACATCCAAAGTCCTATCTTGCTATAAGTCAGCCCAGTACTGACCATGAATCCCCTTCCACCATGAATCTCATTCCTTGTAACACAGTAAAAAATTCAGCTCTTGTACAGTGTTCATATCCTATTTATTTATGGGCCTAGCATCAACATCTTAAATCTAGAACATATATTTTTTCTGCTTGACTAATCGGAACCTAGGCATTAACTAGTCATTGCATTGTCTAAAGGGGCCAAATAACTAGTCATTGTTTCACTGCATTGATAACACTGGGGTCTAGTGGCTTTTAAGTTGTCTAAAGGTCCAGTAGGGGTTTTACATGTGTCTTTTGCATTTTAGAAAGGTTTTGAGGGTTTTATATAAAGCGATGTGAACAGTGACTTTGGAATTGTAAGTTTATTTTCTCCTTGAAGAGTAACTTGTTATCTCCTATTGTGTGGTTTGCCTAACCATAACAAGCCTATTGTCTACTGTAATATTTAATTTTTTCACTTCTTTCTCTTTGTTCAATCGTAACTGCTACTACCATGTCTTTGGATTTTCTGTGGTTTTCCTTATGTTGGAAACCAAATTAGATATTTCCCCTTGTGAAGCTTGAGAGCAAGTTCTCTCTCTCTCTCTTTGGGAGAGGCTGTAGCTTGCGCCTCTCCAAGGGCTGTTGTATGAGATTAAAAATCAAAATCAGTTTCTTAATTAATAAAATTTCATTATTATTCATCAAAAAGCTTGAGTGCAATTTCCTCTTCATTTTTTTTTTTAATTTATGATGTTCTCCTTTGTTTGTTTGTTTATATTATTTTGGTCCAAATGTTCTCTGATGCATTGCATGGTTTTCCAACTTAAGCTTCTTGAGTTCGTCCTCATGGAGTTTTTAGGTTTTTATTCTTATTACATCAGTATAATCATTTCTTCTTCTTCTTGGTTCCATCTCTTGTGCTGTCTCACGGGTCATGACTATATGTTTTGTACAAAGAGTAAGTCTTTTATTTTGTTAATCATTATTGGTGGTTAATCATTGTTGTATAAAAGATCTCATTACCCTAAGGTTTTTTGATATTTTATGACTCGAAAGATGTAACACACTGCATAGACACTCACATTTTATATTTTCTATTGCTGCTATAGTGGTACAAATTCTGACAAAAATGTGCATTTTCTAGGGAACAAGTGATCCCTATGTGGTTATGCAATTGGATGGTCAAATTGTGAAAAGCAAGATTAAATGGGCGTAAGTTATTTATGTTCTTATTTGTGTTAGAAATGGAATGCCATTCTTGAAGATTCAAAATGAAGGTTTTATCTGAACATATTGTAGTGTAGTTGTGTTGGAAAACGTGGGATTACTGGTGTAGATGTATATTTGGTAGTTAGCATTTATATTTGGTAATTGTGTAAAAATAGAATTATGTGAATATGTATTCCTAGGATTGTGGAAAAATATAATCCCTTAAATATGGGGATTAAAAGGGTTAGTCCCTTAATTATAGGGATTGACTTAGAAAGGTTTTTTCTATTTATTGCAGCAGCTTACTGTATAAATATGCTGATTGGCAATGGAATGAAGCAGATCAGTTTTCTACCATTTCAAACATGGTATCAGAGCTCTAGGTTTGCCAACCTTGAGAATTTTTTTTGGCCTTCATTGCCAGTTTTTTCTCTTTGTGTTTTTTTGGTCTTCAGTGTTGATCTGTAACTAGAAGTGTTTCTTTATTCTCCTTTATTCTGGCCAGTTCTTCCCTTCTTTATTCTCCTTTCCTGCTGGCCTTATTCTTCCTCCATTAACAATGTCCGACGTGACTGTAACAAGTTCTCCCGTCCAAACCGATGAAGGAGCAATGAATTCTCATCCTCACACCGGTGATTTGCAGAATATTCAGGCAACATATAGACTGAATGGCCAGAACTATTTGAAGTGGTGCACCTATTGCAAGAAGCTCAGACACCCAAAAGATCGCTGCTGGAAACTTCATGGGAAACCTCCCACATCCAGCAAGGAAGGGGGAAATCGAGGAGTTTCGAAAGCAGTTCAACAGGCCCATAATGTCTCCACAATCGCGCAACAAGAACACTCAAGTCAGGGGCCATTTAATGATGAAGAAATTGAAAGGCTAAGGAGTTTCCTGAAATCCTTGAGACCAGGAAGTGGTTCTACCTCTCTTGYTCTCTCAGGTGAGTCTTTATCTCTAGGATTACATGTCTCGGCTAGTGTTTTTCCATGGATTTTTGATTTTGGAGCTACTGACCACATGACACCCTCTTCACTACATTTTCTCACCTATACACCTTGTCCTAGTAATTGAAAAATTTCTGTTGCTGATGGTTCGTTTACCACAGTGGCAGGGATTGGGAATATTCAAATTRCTCCAYCCCTATTRCTTAAAAATGTGCTTCATGTTCCTAAGTTATCCACTAGCCTTATCTCTATACATAAACTCACCCAGGATGTGAACTGCAATGTTGTGTTCTTTCCTTCTTACTGTGTATTTCAGGACC